AAAAAAACATAGTTAGAATGGGAAAGTTTTTGGAAATAATAATAGTTTTCAAGAATTTTCATTCATATGGTTATTAGATCATTGGAAAAATTAACACATTTATGGATATCACGGTTTTATTATTATTTAAAAATTTTTTTTTTGTAATTAAGTAAACTATATTCGTAGACAGTTGAAATTATGTCAGAAAACTTACTATAACTTACTTTCCTGTTCTAGACATAGCCAAATTTTCAAAACATTTTAACAATTTTTAAGTTATTTATAGGCATTTAACATTTTCGATTTTTTTTTTGGTTTTTATTTATTATATTGTAGCTCTATTACCCTGACTTTAAAATGTTTCCTTGAAAATTCTGTCATAAATTAATTAATAATTTATTCTTATTTGTTAATCGAAATTCAAAATTTGTTAATTTAAGTGTATTTTTATCTATTTTGAGCACTTCATCCAGAACTCCGAATTAAAGACAGTTTTGGGGGGTTAAAATGGAGTAATAAACTCTGAATTTTGAGTAACCAATTACAATAAATTCTATCTCATTGTCTCGAACCGGTTTGAAGTCTCTATAAATGTATTTTAGACCTATGCAGATGTAGGGGTAAGTTTACTCCAGCATCCTGAAATAAAAATACGAGTTTTGGGTTTTAGGATAGAGCAACAAATTCCGAATTTTGATTAACAAATAACAACAAATTATTAACTAATTCATGACATATTTTTCAAGTCAAAATTTTAAATTTGGATTCCAGGTTAATGGAGCTATTTATTGCGTACACAATTGTTTGGCCGAACAAAAATGTTTAAACGATTTAACTCGAGGTTCATTGTAAGTTGTATTTAGTGATAAAAAATAAAAATATTAATTGTTATGTAGAAGAGTTTTAAGAGAAAACTTTTACAATCACCTTAAAAATTACAGTATTTCAAAATATATATAACACAACTTTGTTCAGAATTATTTTTCGTTAGTAATGGTTTATTTGTAATGTAGATATAAATTAAATAACTTCATATGTATCCAACCTTCCTGACTTCCCATTCACAAAAGTAGTACACTTATCTTCATTATTAGGTTTTTTAAAAAAAATTTGGTTATTATTATTATTATTGGTATTGGTTATTCAAGTAGTTTTATTTATAAGAATTTTCCCTTTAAGACATTTCTTAATTAAGAATTACCAACAAATTGATCGACGAGCGTATCTATTTCGGATTATACGTCGGTATGTATGCAATGGTTTTGTTACGTGCTTATTTATTCGGAAAAAGTTCTAGTTATTAATTTTTATATAAGGAATGACCTAAATTTAATTATATATTTTGAGCAGAGCGATGAAGCCTTTAGTTTTACAAAGACGTTTATTTTTATTATTTTTTTTTTTATCTGGGCGCAACTTTTCTACCAGAAGTCTTCAAATTTCAAAATAATGTTTAGCACTTTGGACAACAATAAACACTGAATTATTACTAAATATAAGTATAGTAATTGCCAATATTATATAGGTTAGAAGGCGGTCGTAGTGCCAACGTCAAACTCGTTCATCTCCATGCGACGGTCGTCTATAGGCTTAGAAAGAGCGGTGGAGAAAATACAGGCCTCGGTGCACTAAAGTGCCCATACACCCGGTAGCCGGGTGTATAGTCAATGCCAAAAGTGAGCCAAAGGCAAAAAAGAGTATTCACACGTCTATTGAGTATCTAACGAGTTGTATATATGCGACGATTCGTCGATACCTGTAACCCTAATATACTTTTTATATATATTTATTTATATATATTTTTTGATTTTATAAATGGTTTTCATGACAATCTGAAAAAATTAAAAAACCATGACGGTCTTTCTTTTTCCTGTGAACAACTTTTCTACCAGCAATTTTGATCCAACTTATAATGACAGCACTTTTTATGAAAAAAAATCTGATTAGAATAGTATTTAAGAGATTGATTGGCTAAACATAAATGCTTGAACATATAACTGGAAGTTTATTGTAAGTAGTACATAGTGGTAAAAAAAAAAGTTGAGTGTAATTTTTTCTCTATAATATCAAATTTTGATTACAATCGTAAATATTGTAGAATTACAAATCATGTATATAAATTCACTTAGAATCGGGTTTCGTTAGCAATGGTTTATCGTTACTTATAGATATGAATAAAATAATTTTATGTATTCTAACTATTCTCAATTTTCCACCTATAGCAGTGTCACTGGTACACTTATCAGCTCTTTTCTTTTTTTTTGTAGTTTTTGTTTTTTTCTGTCTATACGCAAATCTCTATCAGAAATCTTGCTCCACTCATAAAATTACAACTAGTTACTACATTTGTTGAATTTTGAATCTAGTTGGAACATGAAGAGGTCATTTTTTAAGTCTCCTAGAGGTTTTCATAATAATTGGATCCAATTGGAAAACAAATTATAGGGAATAAGGACAAATATTTACGATGTTTCGTGGCGTTATTGATTTGATTTTTTTAAATGTTTACGAATTTTGTTTCGAACCAGCAATTTTGATTTAATAAAAAATAACAAAAGACTTTTTAAAAGTAGACTACAATATTGTTATAATTTGTATTCAACGCTGACACACTAACACACTTACTAGACATGAAACTATGATATCTCCAACTATAATAATTGCAATGCGTTATTAAATATTGCACTACGTCATATCCTTTGTGACTTTATTATTTCAAATGAATTTATATATTTATTAGCATAATTCTATTGTGCGTTGTTCAGAGTTCAAAAAAATAACCCGATACCTATTTCGAATACAATAATATATTATGTACATTCAAAAATACGTGACGTAGTGTAATGTAATTGCAAAATATTCAATGGTGTATTATTCAAATGAGAATATTATTTATTCATATAAATATACTATAATATTATGTTTAATCAGTGGAGTCGAAACTTATGTGATGGTTCACTCTGATATTGGCGTGTTTTCTTTTAAAAATTAGGCATTAGTACCGCGTCATATCGTCCAAAGTTTGTTTGTAATAATAAATATTAATAATACTAATATCCTCAATAAAAAATAATTTTATTAATTTATTGTTCTGAATCATGTTGCAAGTTGTCATTAAAAGAAAATCACATGGAAAATTCTATGACGACCGTGAAAATACCCCCTCCCACTTAGAGACTTTAAATTAGCACTTCTATTTTGATTGGACTATTTTTATAAAAAAAATGAAAATTGACTAGTATAATTAATTAATTTAATTTAAAATGAGTGTTTAAATTTTAAATTCAATATNACCATCAAAATTTTAAAACGTTCAATGGAAAAATTGAATAAATGTTTAAATTTGTATAACGTTTAAACCTAACAATTGAATAACGTTTAAATTTCTTATAACGGTACACATTATTTTTTTATTTTTGAATCAAGCTCCAGGTGAAATAATATTATTATAATATATTGCATACGTCCAAAAATTTAATTACAATGTTAATGCGAACAATCCGGTGTTATACATATTATAGATAATAAGTATCATACAAAATGACGAATTTAAAATATTATAACACGTCAGCATGACATAAATACCAATCAAAATACACACAATATTTAATACAAAACTAAAGACGCATATTTTCTAAGATTGCAGTTTTGACATGGAATCAATTTGTAGGACAAGTAAAGTGCATGTGTTTATGCCCTATATACACATGGAAAATACCCAAAATTGAAGGAATATATAGTAATAATTATTAGATGTTTGAGGAAAATATTAGTTAAAATATTGTAGAACTATAAAAAAAGTAGATAGATATATTCAAAATTATGGTTTTATTTTTTAAAAAAGTAAATAAATTTATTTAATAAAATATGGACTAAAATGATAATCGTATTACGAAATACTTTTACGTTTATTTTTACTATAATTTCGTACGCCAACTTGTTTGTTTTCTAATACTGAATAGTGATTTCCTTCAAAAAATTGAATCATGACAGCCGATTCAATATACTAATAAGAAAAAAATATATATATTAGAGTAAAACCAATAGATTCTTCGCTCCGTTCAAAATTTAAATATTTCTGATCAGTCGGCAACCGTTGTTCGATTAGCTATGATTAAAAATATATCTTTTAGTGAGTGCTTATACAGAATGTAACACGATGATCTAAAAAAGATCTTGAAATAATTTTTATTCTATTTAATATTTTTAGTATATTTTTTTATAAATAATTAGTATGCCTCTGAGTATACTAATTTGAAGTTTTTGCAAATGTGAATATTCTTGTGGTTTATAAACTATTACAATATTTAATCAGTAGTAAATAGTAATGTATAATATTAACCCATTGAAGAGAAAACTTGATTAAATATTATAATAGATTATAAGCCACTATAATATTCAAATTTGCCAATACTTCAAGAAATTTTAGAAAATAAAATGCTATACCTAAATAAAAATTAAAACCACCAAATATTTTTTAAAAATCTATTTTACGAAATGACTACTTTGAATTCTTTTAAACAAATCATAGTAATATTTTAATTTATTATTGTATGTCCGCCCTAAAATAATATAAACGTTTATATACAGAGTTATTCACTAAGCGTATTTTCTCCATTTTTTTGGGTCAATTTTAAATGTATTCAAATTTTAATTTTTGAACACCAAAATGTATTTAAAGTAATACTCCGTCTATGAATAAAATTTATAATATAAGTTCTCATTAGAAAAACAAAAGTTGGTATCGCCACAGGGTACTCCTTAAATGTAATGAAAAATCTAAGTATTCGAAAATATCGACTTTAACTACACTTAAAAATTCCGAAAATCAGAATTTGAATATATGCAAAATTTAACCAATAAAATAGGGCGAGTACGCTTAGTGAATCATCTTGTATACACGTTAACGCAAATACATACTAATTATTTCAAAAAAATATCGAAGAGAACAAAAGTTATTTCAAGTGGAAAATCTTCGTGTTTCAACTTTAAATGTTATAGTGTGTAACATAAAAGTCTTAGAGCATACATACTTGATAATGATAATGGGCTAATTTTTCAATAGATGCTACACCAGTAATGTCATATAGTAAACATAAGACCTGTATGAATGCATTTTCTGATAACTTTTCTATAATTGAATCAATACCTTCAAGACCTGGTATAACAAACAATGTAGGATGATTTACTAGGAGTTGTTCTTCCGTAGAACCGTCATCATATAACGATGGTATTCGTACAACTGAGTAATACGAGGGTAACAATTCTAATTCTATCGATTCATTAACTGTCGTAAATTTATTTAATTGACATTGCTTTTCTTTATAATCTAAAGCATCAAACTCTTGCAATTTCGTAAATGTTATTCCTCTTATGTCTTTGGGCATTAAGAATACTTCTAATTGTACTTCTAATAAGTGTTTAATTTCTACAGTCATCATTGAATCTATACCTAATTCTGCTAATGTTGAATGTAAACTAATATTTTTGAAATCTTTATGCCCTAATATGTCAATAACAGTATCAACAAGAGCATTACTACATTTTTTAGCACTTTTTTCAGCAACCACAATGCTAGTGACTATTGGATAGTTTTTCTGAATTAATAAATGGTCCATTATTTCTAAACTATTGGCTATGTTTTGTTGTTTAGTACCAGAAACGACCACTTCTTTGTTGCCTTCAGCCATGCTGGTTGCAAGGCCTACATCACCAATAGCACCCCATTCAATAGCCAATGCTGGTAAACCTTCTGATCTCCGAATTTCACATATTCTCTCCATCACTGAATTTGACAAACCATAATTAGTTTGACCAATGTTCCCACGACTACACGTTACACTTGAAAATATTACAAAATGTTTTAAATCTGGACACATTATCCTAGAATATTTGTCTAGTAACGATGTAGCAATAGCTTTTGGTCGACATGATACTATAAAGTCTTCAACTGTTTGATTTTCAAATAAAGCATCTTTTAAAACCTAAAAAAATAATACACTAAATAAATAATCAAGTTACTATATCGATGATAAAAAACATTAAAGTATTAATTTCAATTATTGTATAGTCATATTAGTATATAGTTGTATCGTTATTGTTTAATGTAATAAACCGTTTTAAATNGATGAACAATAATGTATTTCTAAATCTATCCAAGTGTACGTTTGTCGTTTTTATAAAATTTCACATGTATATCAATATTTTATACATACCTGGTTCTATCACCACCAGTTTCTTTTCTGACACAATTAAATAGCCCCATAATTCCGTTTGTAGGATCTTTTTCAGCAACGAGAATAACCTTTTGTTTAATGGAAGCATCATCGGATAATGTTTTTTGTAAAACAGGCAACCATGAAAACTCCTTACTCGAGATTTTAATAACAATTGGAACTTCGTTTTGCTTTATAGGCTAAATTAGTTATGAATTTAATTATATTTTATATAGTATGATCGTTTGACTTTTGATTATACCTTTCTCACAAGCATCAATCGTTCCTCTTTAAATAACACATCAAAACAAACTTCTACAAGGTTCAATGATGGTTCGAAATTTAATTGTTCTCTTGTCAATAAAAATCCTTCCGGTTTTAACGAATCAAATACATTTTCTAGTACTTCAGCATCTTCTAATAGCTTTGATCCGACATTAAATAATACCGATTGGTCTGTAGGCAATTTTCCGTTTTTCACTGTTATATTATTTGACACTTCTTTTAGTTGAGGATGATTTTTATTAGACAGAATACACACCTCGGCCTAATTATTAACAAATATAGAAATTAAGATGAAAACGTACAATATGTATTGAGAAATAAAATTTTTACAAAAGAATTGACATTTTTGCTATCGTACTTGTACAAGTGGTAAATCAGTTATGATATCAAGGATCATGGGACTAATAATTCGTTCATCAGGCTTAATTGTTTGGTTTAAAATTTCTAGAGTTTTGATTTTAATGGCCATGTTATTTTCAATAGCTATATGCAAACAAATGCGCACTATATCTTCGAGAGTATATCCCTGGAAAATATATATTTGTATAGTTGTGCACTACAATATAAATAATTTTTTATTTTTTTTCACCATGTCAATAGTATATGGTATAAACATATATTTTTCAACAACCGGATTATCTAATGGTTTTCTTTTAGGAATAGCATTTACATGTAGTCCCCTTATTTCAATTCCACCAGATTGAATAAATCCATCTCCGGATATACATAAACAGGGATTTCTGCAATATTTACTCAGTAAATAAAATATTTTAAAACATAAGAATATAAATCACCTGAATTTTTTTCGGAAAGTGTCTGTAAGACTAAAGAATGTCTGTCCACATTGATCACAAGACTCTTTAATGATACAGGGGTAAGCAAACTCCGCGTATCTTCATTTAATATTCGTAATTGTAGCACATTGTCCATAAACTATACCCAATTATTAAACCATCCAATTCTACCAACAGTAACTGTACAAAAAAAGACCATTCTAGAAGACCATAAAAAATGGTATTTTTTACTTATATTTTGTAATCACCATCAATATTTACACGGTTTAAACTTTTGAATAATCCTCCATAATTATATCCACGAAGTTTTAACTCTTTATAAACGTCTATGTATTCGCATTGACGTTAATAAAGAGATGATTGTTATGCCACCACATCCATATAAACCTAACAGTACAGATTTAAACATTAAAGACGTATATAAAGAGTTAAAATTTCGTGGATATAATTATGGAGGATTATTCAGAAGTTTAAACCGTGTAAATATTGATGGTGAATACAAAATATAAGTAAAAAATACCATTTTTAATGGTCTTCTAGAATGGTCTTTTTTTGTACAGTTACTGTTGGTAGAATTGGATGGTTTAATTCTTCTGAATGGTTCCATCGCATTAAAGGTGCAATTATTGGCGTACCTCGACTTACTGGAAATTCAATTTCTGGATAGAGTTTACTAATTTTTGGATTTATACCAACTTCAAATAACCTGAAAAAAAATGTATATACATCACTTAATAAATAAAATGGAAAAAAGAGTTAAAAAATGTTTTATGTGCGTTCTTTTTTAAATTTTTTCAATACAATGTTATATAAAGTAACAAGATTAATTCCGAATATGAGCAAAATATATATCTTAAAGGAATCCAGATTTGCATAAAAAAATCTTAATACATACGGTATTTATTATATTTTATATTTATATTTTTAAGTTAATCTCTTAAGATTAATTGAATCAAAAATGAAAAGATCACCAATTCCTGATGATGAAACAAGGACTTTATTACAGACCAGATCATATGTATTTGCAATATCTTCGCAATAGTGTTACTTAATCTAATAAGTATAATATACATATATTTATATTAAGAATTTAAATATAATAATTTTCTTACTTTCCAAAAACTGATAATATATATCTAAGTCCGTCGTTTTTATCCATAGAAGCTAAGTCAAAAGTGTAGATATTAATTTCGGATGTTCGATTTATAATATCACAGAGAATGCCATCTAGAGCCAATTCTATTACTGCAGATCCCTTTGGTACACAATTAAATGATTCATGAATCAATTTGAACTTTTTGCAATATTTTTTTTACAGAGCAATTTTAATATCAAATTTTAATGAAAATCGTTCAGTAAAATATTTTGTGGACCAAGTCCAAGTTTTCAGTTTTAGACTCTAAATGGAGCGAAAAATCCTTTCATTTTACCCAGATGATAATTTTTTCTGTGGACAACTTTTTTACCATAAATCTTGCTTAGATTTTAAATTGTAGCACCTTTTCTGAAAGCAAATCAGACTGGGGAGTTACACTTTAAGAAGGTTTTGATTTTTTCAAAACAATTGATTCTTAACAAACGTTAAAAATCTAAAAAAAACGAAAGAAAATGTAGTCATTCTGACTGGGGAGGTACTTTAAAGAAGTAATTTTTTTGATTTTTCCCAATAAATGGTGTAACTCGGGATAGAACACAGTAACACCGTGAATACTGTAGGAAAAACAGGAAAATAGGCAAAATATTAAACAAATAGATTTAAAAAAGTCGTCCTAGGATAACGGAGATGGGTGAAGTCACTGTTATAGGTAATTGAATGTATACTTGTTAGCAACGATAAACCATTGCTAACGAAAAGACGATTCTAAGCGCAGTTTAGTTGATAATGATGCTTTGTCAACAATATATATGTCATATTGTGGTAAAAAATGTAAATAGACATTATATCTTTTTTTTAATTATAATATTTGTCTAATATTGTACCGATTTTCCCGTTTTTTACGGTTTTCCCATATTTTTCCCGTTTTTCACATTTGCTGTGAAAACCCTTGGAAAATCGAAAAATAATCTTCTTAAAGTACCTTCCTAGTTATATTTCCTTTTAGAAAAAGTGCTACCATTGTAAATCGGAGCGAAATTGCTAGTAGAGAAATTGTTCACAGGAAAAATGAAGGCCGACATGTTTTTCAACTAATACCTACATTTCGTTACGCCGTACGTATATCTCTGAGTAAAATGTCCAATAGAATTTTTGTACGCAGTATAAAAAGAAAATGAGATAAACATCTTAGTAAAACCAATACGTTCGTCGCTACTCGGAATCTAAAATTATTGAAATAAAATCATATGTCTTATTATGAGAAACTCCAGACATGTACTTTAATATTCATATGAATGTAAATTGTACAATTAACAGTGTACTTATTTCAGCCCTTTAATCTATAACATAAATTAATAACTAAAATGGTTAATGCTTTTAAATAAATAAAGTAGATAAACATAAAAATAAAATAAATAAATGATTAAATGCGTTGCTGGAGTATTATGATAAATGTATTGTACGACCGGTTTCGAATTTTAAAAATTCATTATCAGGTATATCGCAGTCAAAATGTAAAACGCGACTAAATATTGTGACGAGACGAAACATATGTCACGTACCACCATGGCGGTTTTTCTTTACCATAATCACGGCCGCGCTATCGAAGACCTGGACTATCAGGACATGTCCGTGTGCTTTTTCGTCGGACGCACGTAAGGGGTATACCGTATAGGTGCCTCATATTTCGTCCACGTTCGTTGTTTTGTGGCCGTTCACGCGTGCGCCGTAACGAGTGAACGTTTCTTGACTATCCCCGACCGAGTGCGTTCCCCCCGCGGTGACATTTCGCGACGCCGTTCCGCGCACCGGTAGTTCCATCACTGGGCTCGTGAAATCTCGGACCCATCGTGCCTATCTGCTGATGGATTCCCGCGGCGACGCAGAGCGTTTCGTGTCGGACGGCTGACGTCATCCGCACGCAACCAATCGCGCATCTCATCGGCCGCGGTACTTTTACTTTAATCGTTACTTTTATTTTTATTCGTTTTTGTTATCGGGCCATTGAACGCAAACCGCATGAATACCGTACGCGCTCGTCAGGTACCCACGATCAACGTTGTGTATTATAATTAAATTATTTATTGTAGCGCGGGCACTAACCCTTAGTTACCTATCTGTTTACTATAATTAATTCTGTTGTTCACTCGTTTATATTTATTAATTTCCCATGTATTTTTTTTTCGAGTATAATACACATATATTCTCCATTACCAACACTTGTCGTTCACATTGTTTTCAACTCGGCCACCCGGTCCCCCATCCTCGTCATCTACACGCGAGTCCAAGGCGACCGACTACCCCACTCGGTTTAGTTTTGCCACAGGCGCCAACACTTCTAAAACTGAATTTATGTAAACGTTATTCTGGATATGTAATATTTCTAAGTCTGTATTAATATCAAAACTTATATTATGGTTATTTTCTAAAACACGTTTACCGAAATTTGAATTAGGGGCCGTCTTTTTCAATTTTATGCCAGAAATATGTTTTTTATACCTTGTTTTAAAATTTTTATTCGTCTTACCCATATAAAATTTATTGCAGTTACATATAAGTTTATATACACCAGCATTTTCAAAAGAAGGGGGATTTTTCGTGAAGTTTTTAGTTTTATTGTTTGATTAAATTATTATTAGTCTTAAAAGCAATTTTTACATTATTTGTATAATTGATCAGTATTTTAGCGAGTTCATATTATTTTGATACTTCTTCATACTACAATAGTTAACAACATTATTTTGTAAGTTTTGTATTATTTTTCCTTTAATATGTTTATGAATTTTTTGAAAAGCATTTAAATTGAAATTATTTCTATGGGCTATATTATAGATAATATTGAACTCGTGTTGATAATTGTGTTAATTAATAGAATACGTTCAAGCCTATAGAATATTGAATTAAAAGATGGTAATTTTTGAGAATAAAAGTGATTAGAATCATGTGGTATTATAGCATCAGTTTTTAAAGGTTTCCCGTAAATATTAAAATCAAATTTATTTTTTATTATGGAAATTGTAAGATCTAAGAAATTAAATTTATTATTCGTTGTATTACGAATGTAAATTGAATGTTTTTATTTATTTTGTTTAAGTAACTAAATTTTCTGCTTGTCTATTTGAACCTCTAAATAAAATAAACGTGTCATCAACATATCTATAATATGTTTTTATATATGGACTATATATTTTGTTGTTGATGATATTATTGGTTTCATAATTTTGCATGTGAATTTCGGATAAACAAGCACTTGAAGAGCCATCCATAACTAGCCCATCTTTTTGCAAATATAATTTATTATTACATTGGAAATAGTTTTGATTAATAATTCAATTTATTGATTTAATAATTTCTTGTACCTTCGTCGTTTGTATTAAATTTTATACAATGTATAAGTTTATTTTTTAAAAAATTTACTGTTTCGTGTTTAGGAATGGATGCATATAAATTATTAACGCCTAGTGAAAACCATTTTATAACCTGGCACGATATTAATTTTATCAATACAATCATAAGTTTTTTTTATAGAAGTATCAGTATTAAGGTTTAATTTTTCTTTTACGAGAGAGTCTAAATATTTAACAAGGAGACGCATTAATTAATTAATTTTATTTTTATATATACTTACTTTATTTATAATTTTTATTTCAACCTACTTTAAAAGTAAAAAATGTAAACCTACATTCCAAGAATAAAATCGCATGACTATTCTTGTATTAGCCGTTTTAAAACTTGTAAAACATTATAGGTTAAGTTACTGGATTGTTAGTATTACTTTGATTTTATAAATTATAATATTAAATTGTTGGTCATTGAATTATCCTAAAACCATAAAACATTAAAAATAATAATGAGCTCATATTTTATATTTATTCAGAATTATCAAATATTTAAAAAATCATACATTATAATATTATGATTGAACCAGACTGTTACGTACCAGGCACCAATAAAACGTATAAGGGTTGCTGGCCACGTGAATAAATACAGAGGGTGTAACTCGTAGCAGGAAAAGGTTGTTTAGAAACATTAAAAACAAAAAAAAAAAAAAAAAACAAAGAACTCCGGTGGCTTAGTATAAATATGGCGGTAATATTTTCTGTAAAACAGGAACACAATAATAATCTTATCAACTATAGCGTGTAATGTTATGCTCACATAACATAATATTATAACTGTATAATTATTTATTATTTATAACATTACAAAAATCTAACTAAAAGATTCAAATATGGCCGAGTACTTGGTATTTCACAAAAGGAAAATAATTTAATAAATCTAACGGATCGTTCGCTATTCGAGAGGGATGCAAGCTTATCTACAAGCAAAATAATTTATATATGTGTCAAATATAACAGAACTACATGTCATCTGTTACGGCCCTTTGAGGACACTGCCGCCTCAGTCATACTATTATATATTGTCTTCTTTTCACAATTCGAGTATTACTTAATTTATATCGACATAGATGCGATTGCCGCCTGTTTCATCTTTTTAAGCACACAAATTCCAGTGGGCTTCTATCATTCGAGAAAAATCAACATCCAATAATTAACCATCATTTAGAACATTCAAATATAAGTGATATAAAATAAGGCAATAAATACACAACATCAATCGGCCTTTTGATGATACCGCCGTACCGTCATCATTCTTTCACCNATATAAACACATAAAATGTAACGGTTTTTTCTATTGAAAATTAAGCGTCTTGATCCCTCTAGAAACCCCAAGACGAACACTCTGTCGAGAATCCCACAAGCAGCAACAACTACGCACCACCAACTTTTTTCGAGGATCTCTCTCGAATAGCTAGCTCCGACTTTTAGCAGCTATAATCTCTCGTGTTCGATTTATTTATTAATACACTTTATAATTCAACCTTTTACTTTCCTAGTTTATAAATTAGCATTTTTTTTATCTGAGTGCACACAGATGTTAAGTGTTAATTGATTAAATTAATTTGTCTTAATTAAATTGTGATTGCCGTCCAACGACTCCAGGTTCACGTGAGGTTATCCGTAAGTATAAACCCTAGCGTTCCAACACCGTGGGCAGGTAACATAATTACAATTTTTTCTTTAGTTATTCATTTCGTCACCATTCTCGGATTCACGACTCCGAAACCCTTTCAAACATAGGAAGGAAGGTAGTAATACAACTAGTAGGCTGAGCCTTTATTATGATTAAAGATAAATTATTCTTTGTAGCACCAAAACTTAGATCGACTGTTTCACACTACATAAACACATTTTTATACCTACTCCTTTATATTACATTCTTTATAGGTATTTCTACGTGATTGTCTTATTATTTTAAATATAATGATCTTCTACTTCTATACTTAGTATCCTAAGTCTACTACCCCTCTTATTTACCCCCACTACATTTACTACCCCACATTTCTCCCCTTTATTTTCATTCTTTCTTTATTTTTATTTTACCCTTTTCTATTTTTTGTATTACTACACGTTAATACCTTAAAAGTAATAATAAAAGACAGTAAATACAAACGTACATAAAATCGAAAAAAGAAGTGTGCGGACACCGAAGAATAACAAGCACGGGGATTCATCGGCTCGCAATAGCGTATGAAAACGTGAAACCGTGAAAGGCTTTAAACGGTACTTATAGTCCGCAACGCACCGTACGAGCGAGTGCCGTCGCGTCCGGCTCATACCGGCTACGCTCCACAGCACTCGCGTACGAACCAAAATAATACGCGAATTAGGTAATGTGCAATAAGAATGCATAGCGTTTTTATTTATGGTGCACGCAACACAGACAAAGTATAGAAATAATCTCTTATATGCTAATCCTACACAACTATTATTACTGAATATTTCTTTTTCGCGAAAATATTATCCTGGTATTTAAATTCCCGTCAACTAATTAAATTATATGAATAAATAATATTCTCATTTTCCATTATTTATTACGCATGATGAATGTCACCATTGTATATTTTTCAAATACGTCACACTACGTCATGTATATTTGAATGCACATAATATATTATTGTGTTCAACAATTTTATCAGGTTATTTTTTTGAACTCTGAACAACGCGCAATAGAATTATGTTAATAAGTATATAAATTAATTTTAAATAATAAAATCACAATAGATATGACATCATGCAATAAGTAATAACGCATTGTAATTATTGTAGTTGGAGATATCAGAGTTTCATATCTAGTAAGTGTGTTAGTGTAATAAATAATGGAAAATGAGAATATTATTTATTCATATAATAACAAATTTTTACAAAAAACTTAAACGTGGCTCAAATGATTTGAAAATATTACCAAGTTCAGAAGGAAAATACACGTTTTCTGTCCAAATTTCAAGTCTCTTTTTGAACTCAATTATAACGTATAAAAAATTTGAAAATATTAAAAAGCATTATTTTCGTAAATTTCCCGTTTTTCGTCCGTTTCATCCCGGGTTTTTTCAAATATTATGAAAACCGCTTGGAAAATCAAAAAATGACATTCATAATGTACCATCTAGGGCCTAGATTCTAGGCAATATTTTCTTTCGGAAGTGGTGCCATACGTACATATCGGAGCAAGATTTTCGGTAGAATTTTTGTACACAGTGTAAAAGAAATCATAGTTAATCCAATACATTCCTCGTTCTGCTTAGAATCTAAAAGAAACACAAATTGTAGTTAAATCAATAGATCCTTCATTCCTCTTCGAATGTAAAAACATGGCATAAGACATAATGTCGTTTTTAATTTATGACCTTTTAAAATATGTTTATTAGAATCCTTAGAGCGCCATTGGAATACTAATTTAAATATTTTTAAGAATAACTGTGACGAGAAATGATACTATGACATCAGCGTAATATAAACTAAATATTATTTTTTTAAAATTATTTTCGCGAAATATAAATATGGAAAAATTATACAATGATTAGTATAAGGGCATTATGTGTTAATTAGCTACTTATTACTTATTTACTTATATATAGACAACTATTATACTTATGTTTAGTAATTGTTCTGTGTTTGTTGGTATTCAGCGTGATAAAGATAATTTTGAAATTTTATTACATAGCCATGTCAAGACAAACCGTTGAGTCCAAAATAAAAAAAGACAGGGATATTGCATTAGAAGCAATCCGCCGTCTGATAAAATGTGATCCTGGCGATGAAATCGTCATATCTGGGTTCTCTGGATCGTTTCCGAATTGTGATGGACTCCGGGATTTTGCTGAAAATCTTTTTAATAAAGTGGACTTAATATCTGACGACGATAGAAGATGGACAATTGGTAAATATTATTTGATAATTACGTATATAATTAATAATTAAATTAACAAATAAATAAATAAATGTTTTATTATGTTTATTAATTTAATATAATTTGCTTAAAATTTAGGACACCCGGAAATTCCTCAACGCACTGGAAAATTAAATCAATTAAAAAGATTCGATGCAGCGTTTTTTGGTATTAATTACGAACAAGCTCATACTATGGACCCTATGTGCCGTATTATTTTGGAAAAATCGTATGAAGCAATAGTGGACTCAGGTAATATAATATTGAGACATATTTTATGGTTATATTTACATTTTTTATGCATGAAGTAATTAGTAGGCCTAGAGACATCATTCCTTAAACAAATTTTCAAGAAACGCTCATGATTAAATACATAAAGGATATTTTAGGGGTACCTGATTGCCCTAACTCCTTAGTGCCTTTTTTATTTTAATAAAGACATCTAAGCAAGGACATGTTTTATCACTGATTTTCCCTCTATACTAACGTATTTATAGGGTTCTGATATTTATGAAATTGCATATTTTTTTTTGTTAATTCAATTCAATGCTGATCTATGTACAAATTTGGTTCATGTTCGACTTAATCAAATAAAACTATTTTTATTTTGCATATTTTAGAATTTTAAGAATATAAATTTATATTTCAGTACATTTTAGATTCTTTTTAAAAACAATTTAAATTAATAACAAAATATAAAGCAAAAAAACATACAATTTGAACAAATTAAAAAAAAAAAAAAACATTGTATCGAACTAAAACGCTTTTATTTTAAATTACTATGTAATATATATTAAAAAAATATGTCCTAGAATAATAGTGACGAGTCCAGCCACTGTTATAGGTAATTTAATGTGTATCTGTAAGCAATGATAAAATAATGCTAACGAAAAAAACGATTCTGAGCGTAGTTCAGTTGATAGGGATGCTTTGTCAACAATATATGTGTCATATTATGGTAAAATAATAAAATAGACATTATATCTTTTCTTTAATATTGTACTGAATTTCTCATTGTTTTTTCATGATTTTTCCCATTTATTGAAAATCTCCTGGGAAAATCGAAAAATTATCTGCCTAAAGTACCTTTCCAATCAGATTTCCTTTCTGAAAAAGTGATATTATTTTAAATCGGAGCGAAATTGGTGGTAAAAAAATTGTATACAGAAAAAAGGCCATAATATTTTTTTACTAATATCTACATTTCGTACATTTACCGTTTTTCAACATTTTATTTCGATTTTTCCCAGTTATTATGAAAAACACTAAAGAAATCAAAAAACGGCTTGTTTAAATCATCATGGAGAAAAAATTTCTTTAAAATAAGCTATACTTGATACATCGGAACAAGAATATTATGATTTTTAGTTTTAGTGCATATTTAGTAATTTTTTTGTGTGTAAATGCATAAATATTACAGTTATTTTAAGTGCATAAACATTTGAATCATTATTATGAGTAGCCATCACTCAGTTATCATGCAATTGTTTAAACATAAACAAAATAAAAAAAATATTCATTAAAACCAGAACTTTTAAATTAATTTTCCCTATAAAATCATAGTAATATTAGCAATAAATTGTATAGTAAGATTAATAAATTTAAAAAAAAAAACTGATAATGCTGATTGGGTATGATAATTTTGTAAGTGAGAATTTTAAGTAGTGATTAATAATCAAAAATGTATAATTTTCGTTTAGTAAAACAATTTTATTAACTAATAAATGTATAGTGCCTATAAATAGAAAAAAAAATATATTGAAAATTTCTACACGCCTAGAAAAGGAATATAGTACTTTTCTATCATTATTTCATGTCTTTTCGAATATTTTTAACTGAATTACAACAAAGATACAAAATTAAAAACAATGAAACAATTATTTCTGTTTTTTCTACGTTTATTTTCGGTTTGCTCAATTATTTAAAATGCTCTAAGGGTAATCAAAAACCGACTTTCTTACTTACTAATAAGATCCAAAATGCAACAAAAATGGTTTCTTGTCATTTTTCAATTGGAAAAAAATTTGTGGTAGAAAAATCGCTCATAGGCACAAAAAAAAAAAAAGTAAAATAGAAGTATTTAAATACTTACCGAGTATTTGTATTTGTTCTTAAAAGTATTTAAAATACTTTCTAAAGGTATGTATTTTTATCTGTATTTAAATACAATTAGAAAATATTTTTTTATAACACTGAATAATAGTATACATTTTTCCAAATATTCGGTAGCCTAAGCTGATTGCCGATGATAAGCGGAAGGCGATCGCTGCCGATGTGGATTAAAATAGAATCTAAAATTTGTATGGTGGCATAGCATGCGGTATTTTAATAATGCACCACTTCTCTCTTTCGACCAAAACTTAAAAGTGGAATATCTCGTCAATCGATGGATGAAAATTGAAAATTTCAACACGAAAATTTATTTTAACAAATAATCTACCTATTTATGGAATTTTTAATATAAGTGCCATTTGAAAATAAAAAAGTAGGTGTTGGTTTCACCCCCAAAAATAAATGTGACGAAAAATAATATAAATGTAAAATTATAGAGCTACTTGTGTCTTAAATGTTCTTTGAAACAGTCAACGACGTTAAAAGCTAATAATTTCCAAGTAATGAGTGTCTTACGATGGATCACCCTGTATAGGATTGTTTTAACTTTTATTGTACATTTAGATAAGCAGTAATGGATGAAATTAAACCAATTAGTAATTTCAAATTTATAAATAATTATGAGTATATATCTTAATACAGCAGCTTTAAACTGCTCAGGTGAGAGGGTTTTTTCGGTTCTTAAAAGAGTAAAGTCTTATTTGATGTCAACTGTGAAGGAGAAAGGGCTGAAGTTAGAGTCAGCAGTATTAGCATTGAAGCCAAGGTAGGATAAAATTATCCGGGCAATGTGCACAGTGTAACATATAGTAGAGCTTATCGGAATTTGGGTAGCCGTGTTATTAGTTGGGTGGTGGTGGTTGCAGTGGATAGTGGTTACGGTTATGGCTTTGGAGGCGTAGAACGGGAAAAAGGTTTGGTTGGACGGCACTGGAGGCGGAGTGAGAGAGTGGAAGAAAGAGAGTGTGAGAGAGAGGGAGAGAAGGGGTTTCTGTAGGAGCTAGTTGTGGCTAATGGGTAAAAGAAAAAAAAAGGCATAACAATGATGGCTGGGGTGGAGTAGGGGCCACGGTGGCTGTGTTATTATACGTATAACTTCGGTTTCGGAGCCCGCGTTTTAATATAGCACCGGTTTTGGGTGACTAGTCTTAGTCATTAGTAATTCAAATAGGTTCTAACTGGTTAGTTGTTATTTGTTAATAATTATTAATTTTATAAATGCAAATAGGTAGATATATTTAGAATATGTATTAAACAATTTTTTATCTCTAGGCAATTCTCCAAAATCACTCAAAGGAACAAAAACTGGAGTGTTTGTAGGAGCATGCTTCAGTGAATCAGAAAAAACTTGTTTTTATGATAAACTTCAAAAAAATGGATTTGGAATTACTGGATGTACTCGTTCCATGCTGGCTAATAGAATTTCTTATTGGTTAGGTGTAAATGGTGAGTAATTTTATTCTATTCTTTATGTCATTATATTTCATTAAAACAAATTAGTTACATTAATAAGCTAAAATGATTTCTATAAAAAAAATCTACACAGGTCCTAGCTATTCAGTGGATTCTGCTTGTTCTTCAAGTTTATTTGCATTGGAAAACGCTTATAAATCGATCCGTAATGGCCAATGTGACTCCGCATTGGTTGGAGGTTGTAATTTATGTCTTCATCCATATGTATCTCTACAGTTTGCACGTTTAGGTTTACTTTCTATGGATGGCCGATGTAAATCTTTTGACGAAGCTGCTAATGGATATGTTCGATCAGAAGCAGTTTGCGTTATTTACTTACAAAAAGCTAAAAATGCTAAACGTGTGTACGCATATGTCAAATATGCAAATACAAATTGTGATGGATATAAGGAACGAGGAATATCATACCCCTCAAGATTTATGCAACAAAGGCTATTAGAAGACTTTTACGAAGAATGTGAAATAAAACCGTGTGATTTAGCATGGGTAGAAGCACACGGAACAGGGACAAAAGTATATTTTAGTTTTTAGATCTAATTCAGGGGTTCCTCACATTTTTAACACAAAGTACCACTTAATACTTTTATGATTAATACTCATACTACCTTAATTCTAAAATTAAATTAGGAGTCAAAATCTTGTTTTAATTAAATATTTTATTATTGATTCATTTATTACCATTTTTTAATTATTTGATATTTATAAAAGTAACAAAAATTTTAGGTTTTCAGTAAATCTTTTAATATTTGAATTACAATTTTTTATTTTTTATATGTGAAAACAAATTTCTTCGCGTACATACGAGTTTTCCGCGTACCATTGGTTGGGAACCGCTGATTTAGATACATAAAAAATATATATAATAATTTTATAACTTTATATTATTATATTACAAAAACATATAATTATAACTACCTATACAGCTATAATAGGTTATATAAATTATTAAAAGTAATGTTAATTATAAATAGGTCGGTGATCCAGAAGAAGTTCAGGCATTAGAGAATGTATTTTGCCCGGGTCGCACAGAACCTTTACTTATCGGTTCCGTAAAATCAAATATTGGTCACTCTGAAGCTGTCTCAGGCTTATGCGCTATAGCCAAAGTGATCATAGCTATGGAAAGTGGTTATATACCTCCTAACATACATTTTAACACCCCAAGAAAAGATATTACATCATTCTACAATAATCGTATTAATGTAGTAACCGAAAAAACCTCTTGGAATGGCGGTATGGTTGGTATTAATTCGTTTGGTTATGGTGGTGCTAATAGCCACGTATTACTTAACTGGAACGAAAAAAATAAAATAAATAATGGACTTCCTGAAGATGATTTGCCTAGATTAGTTGTAGCATCAGGTAGAACCGAAGAAGCTGTAACTATTATACTAAACGATGTATGTTATAGGAATACTTATGTATAATTACTAACCGAATTACTTAAATTATATATTTAATTGCAGGTATTGTCAAAACCATTGGATAAAGAGTATGTGCGTTTATTACACGATATTCAAGCAGAAGAGATACCTGGACATCATTACCGAGGATACACTATTCTAACAAAAGATTCCAAAAAAACCTACTCGTTAGATTTTCAAGTAATTCATATCGTTTATTGATGTACATTTATGAATTAAGTTGGGTTGGCCTATTTACCCACATGAAAAATAATTTTTGCAGCTGTTAGTATGTGTGTATTATTTAACTGGCTAAGTAGTTATAAGAGCTGATACTGAGGATGGGTGCGAACACTGTTGTAGGTGGGTAGTGAGGAAGGAAGGCTCACAGCCATGGGGGCAGTAGGCGATACTATCCTCATTGACCCGTTTCTTGAAAATATAATTTTTATCGGATGACGGCCATTTTCGAATTAATCGTCATATTGCAAAAAAATAATATAAGAGTAATGTCATAATATTGATTTTTTCTAATGCCAAATCTATAAGTTAGTTTGCCCCTCCTTCCTGAAGAATTGATTTGACCACGGGCCTGGGAGGAGGTGGGGGAATAAAGAAGTTATTTAAGTTATACCTATAACCAATGATAAACCTTTGTTACGAAAAACGATGTTCTAACGAACTAAGAAGTTCAATTGTATTCACATTTTGAAAGGCCGTAATATTTACGATTTTCATCAAAATTTTTTTTAAAAATTCTTATAAAAAAAAAAATATATTCAACCAAATTTTTTATTTTGATTACTTAGTACGACCTTTAATGAGTCTTCCGTCAAATTTTTAATAATTTTAATTTCGTTTAACAATTAATGTCTCTAAATGGATCAAATGTTTTGAACATTTTTCAACGTCTAGTAAAGGAAATAATATAAGTTTTCTATTAAAATTATAGGTTTTTATAAATTTTTTCAACTAAATTACATTCAAAAAACAAAATTGAAAAAAAAAAAATTTTTTTTTCCATTTTCCCGTTCTTTCTGTGTTTTCTTCGGTTTTATTCAATAATTAAAAAAAATCAAAAAACGACTTTTTTATTCATTAACCAGCATAAAAATTCAACAAAAAAGGAGTTTTTCAATTGGAGCAATACTTCTGATAGAAAATATCGTATTAAGAGAATAAAAATAATGAAAATGGTAACGCCACGGCGTGCAGTAAATATTCACTTTGCCTGTACATCCCTATTGTTTGGTTATAATTTACATATAGTGAAATTTTGATTTTTGAAGTTTTTAACTTGTAGTTTAAGACGATATTTTCGAATGTTAAAATAAGAACCTACATTAAAAATTTCATAAATAGACGGAGTATTAGATTAAAAACATTTTGGTGTCAACATTTTAGATTTTCAACCCATTAACGAGTTATTCCACTTTTAAGTTTAGGTAGACACAGCCACTCAAACGATACTCCGCTACTCTTCCCCAAACAATTTCGATTCTAATTTAAAAACCAAAGTTGATATCACCACAGAATACTTTTTAAATGTAGGTAGTGAAAAGCCTAAGTATTTGAAAAGAACGTCCTTAATTACAATTTAAAATTCCGAAAATCAGAATTTATGTATGAAAAATGTAACCAAAATAAAAATAGAATGAACAATCCTATACATGTATGGATTTGTAAAAAAACAGTATACGTTTTCATTCTCAAGCTTTATCAAAGAATGTACGCCTTTAGTTTATAGTTAAGATTATTTAATTCTTTTGAATAATTTATTTAGTATTATTCTGGAGAACCGGCCCCTGTGTGTTTTGTGTTTACCGGTTTGGGTTCTCAATGGACTAGAATGGGCACATCGCTAATGAAATTACCTATTTTTAATGAATCGATCCAACAATATAATAGAATTTTACTAGAATTTGGAATTGACTTAATACGAATAATAACAAATACTGATCATCTTTCATTAAATAATGCCGTAGATTCGATTGTAGGAATCATAGCCATGGAAGTAAATATAATTTTTTTTATATGTTTTTACTAAAAAATTTCAGAACTTAAAGGTTATTATATATATATTTTGAAATTTACTTTAGATCGCATTATTTGATTTACTGACTGCTATTGGTATCACCTCAGACGTTGTTATTGGGGATTCTATCGGAGAACTGGGATGTGCATATGCTGATGGATGTTTAACAGCTGAACAAACCTTAAAAGCTGCTTATAATTATGGCTTAGCCATAATGAAATCAAAATTACCTTTAGGGGCAATGGCATTTGTTAATATTAGATACAGCGATATTAAACACATGCTCCCAATCAATGTGGAAGTAACATGGCATAACTCACAAAATAGTTGTATCATATATGGTTTAAAAAAATCTGTTGAAGAATTTGCCTTACAGTTAGAATCAAAAGATATTTCAACTAAAATATTAAATGTATTTAATACGCCCTATCATTCAAAATTAATTAAAAAAGCAATGCCATCACTATTGGAAAATTTGAAAAAAATTGTGCCATATCCTAAATTACGAACCGACAAGTGGATTAGTACATCAGTACCAGAAGAACAATGGGGAACAGATAAAGCAAATTACTGTTCAGCTGAATATTTGGTCAATAATTTACTAAATAGTGTATTGATTGATGAATCATTTAATTATGTACCAAAGGGATCTGCAGTAATAGAATTGGCTCTAGATGGCATTCTCTGTGATATTATAAATCGAACATCCGAAATTAATATCTACACTTTTGACTTAGCTTCTATGGATAAAAACGACGGACTTAGATATATATTATCAGTTTTTGGAAAGTAAGAAAATTATTATATTTAAATTCTTAATATAAATATATGTATATTATANAATAAATACCGTATGTATTAAGATTTTTTTATGCAAATCTGGATTCCTTTAAGATATATATTTTGCTCATATTCGGAATTAATCTTGTTACTTTATATAACATTGTATTGAAAAAATTTAAAAAAGAACGCACATAAAACATTTATTAACTCTTTTTTCCATTTTATTTATTAAGTGATGTATATACATTTTTTTTCAGGTTATTTGAAATTGGTATAAATCCAAAAATTAGTAAACTCTATCCAGAAATTGAATTTCCAGTAAGTCGAGGTACGCCAATGATTGCACCTTTAATACGATGGAACCATTCAGAAGAATGGCATGTGACAAAGTATGATGTTCGTGACCATAATAATTCAGGCGAACGAAAATTTTTAATTTCATTAAATGAAGAAGAGTTTGAATATTTATCTGGTCACATTATTGATGGAAAGAATTTATTCCCGGATACAGGATACCTGGTAAATCATAATATTTATAATTAAATAATTCATCACAAATATTTTGTTTATTAGGTAATGGCATGGGAAACACTAGCTTTAATGAAAGGCAAATTATATTCAGAAGTATCTGTTATATTTGAAAATATTCGTTTTGAAAGAGTAATTAATATTTCAAAGGATAGTAATGTTGAATTTATTGTTATGGTACAAAGAGTTAGTGGTGAATTTGAGGTAATAGAAAGTGGTACACCAGTTGCTACTGGTCGTTTATATATTCCCATTGACGTTAATAAAGAGATGATTGATATGCCACCACATCCATATAAACCTAATAGTACAGATTTAAACATTAAAGACGTTTATAAAGAGTTAAAACTTCGTGGATATAATTATGGAGGATTATTCAGAAGTTTAAACCGTGTAAATATTGATGGTGAGTATAAAATATAAGTAAGAAATACCATTTTTTATGGTCTTCTAGAATGGTCTTCTTTTGTACAGTTACTGTTGGTAGAATTGGATGGTTTAATAATTGGGTATCGTTTATCGACAATATGTTACAATTACGAATATTAAATGAAGATACGCGGAGTTTGCTTACCCCTGTATCATTAGAGAGTCTTGTGATCAATGTGGACAGGCATTCTTTAGTCTTACAAACACTTTCCGAAAAAAATTCAGGTGATTAATATTCTTATGTTTTAAAATATTTTATTTACTGAGTAAATATTGCAGAAATCCCTGTTTATGTATATCCGGAGATGGATCTTATTAAATCTGGTGGAATTGAAATAAGGGGACTACATGTAAATGCTATTCCTAAAAGAAAACCATTAGATAATCCGGTTGTTGAAAAATATATGTTTATACCATATACTATTGACATGGTGAATAAAAATAAAAAATTATTTATATTGTAGTGCACAACTATACAAATATATATTTTCCAGGGATATACTCTCGAAGATATAGTGCGCATTTGTTTGCATATAGCTATTGAAAATAACATGGCCATTAAAATCAAAACTCTAGAAATTTTAAACCAAACAATTAAGCCTGATGAACGAATTATTAGTCCCATGATCCTTGATATCATAACTGATTTACCACTTGTACAAGTACGATAGCAAAAATGTCAATTCTTTTGTAAAAATTTTATTTCTCAATACATATTGTACGTTTTCATCTTAATTTCTATATTTGTTAATAATTAGGCCGAGGTGTGTATTCTGTCTAATAAAAATCATCCTCAACTAAAAGAAGTGTCAAATAATATAACAGTGAAAAACGGAAAATTGCCTACAGACCAATCGGTATTATTTATTGTCGGATCAAAGCTATTAGAAGATGCTGAAGTACTAGAAAATGTATTTGATTCGTTAAAACCGGAAGGATTTTTATTGACAAGAGAACAATTAAATTTCGAACCATCATTGAACCTTGTAGAAGTTTGTTTTGATGTGTTATTTAAAGAGGAACGATTGATGCTTGTGAGAAAGGTATAATCAAAAGTCAAACGATCATACTATATAAAATATAATTAAATTCATAACTAATTTAGCCTATAAAGCAAAACGAAGTTCCAATTGTTATTAAAATCTCGAGTAAGGAGTTTTCATGGTTGCCTGTTTTACAAAAAACATTATCCGATGATGCTTCCATTAAACAAAAGGTTATTCTCGTTGCTGAAAAAGATCCTACAAACGGAATTATGGGGCTATTTAATTGTGTCAGAAAAGAAACTGGTGGTGATAGAACCAGGTATGTATAAAATATTGATATACATGTGAAATTTTATAAAAACGACAAACGTACACTTGGATAGATTTAGAAATACATTATTGTTCTTCTAAATAAAATTTGAAGTTTTTTTATTAGAATAAATATAGATAATACGCAAAAATACCTTAAAAACCAAAATATAGGAAATTTAATAGATAACAATTTTATCAACTCTTGAACGTCACAAATTAAAAATGTAATATGTTGAGTTTAATTATTAACTGTATGTTACTAAAATTATTATTTAATATACACAATTTTGGACTGTTATTTTTAGATGCGTGTTTATAATGGATGAATGTGCGCCACCGTTTTCCTTAGAAGATCCATTATATAAGAATCAGTTAAAAAAAGATTTAGCTTTAAATGTTTACAAAAATAATGTTTGGGGATCCTATAAACATTTATTACTTGAACCATTATCCTTAGTTGAAGCTCACCATTGCACGGTTAATTTTTCTAATCTCGGTGAATTTTCGTCTTTGAAATGGTTTTCCGGACATATTGTTCCATATACAGATCAACCAGATAAATCAAAAATAGTACATATATATTATACCGCTTTGAACGACAGAGATATTATGTTAGCTACAGCGGAACTAGCACCTGAAGTTGTATCAAAAAGCCGTATTAGTCAAGAAAATGTACTGGGTATCGAGTATGCAGGTCGTAGCGAGAAAGGAGAACGGGTAATGGGGATGATAGCGTCACAAGCTTTAACAACTTTAATTGAATGTGACCCATATTTATTATGGCAAGTGCCTAACTATTGGTCTCTAGAAGAAGCAGCAACTGTGCCAGTCGTTTATGGAACTGTATGAAAAAAACCATTGCGTTTTGGTTAACATAGGTAATAATTTTGAATGTCCGTTTCTTAAGGTTATATATGCTTTGGTTGTCAGTGGTCGAATTAAACGAGGTGATTCAATCCTTATTCACGCCGGTGATGGTGCAGTTGGTCAAGCTGCTATACATTTAGCACTTTATTACAAATGTGAAATTTTTACAACAGTCAAAACACCAGAAAAAAGAAAATTTATTAGAACCCATTTCCCACTGGTATAAATATATTTTAAAACAATTTTACAAAACATTAATCGATTTTCTTTAGATTCCTGAGAGCCATATTGGAAGTTCGAGAGATTCATCTTTTGAACAAATGATTATGATGGAAACTGATGGAAAAGGAATAGATATGGTGTTGAATTCGTTAACAGAAGAAAAGCTTTTAGCTTCAGTGAGGTGTTTAGCGACTGGTGGACGATTTTTAGAAATTGGAAACTTTGATCTAGCCTCAAACATTATGTTAGGTAGAATAATACGTTTTATATTTTTAAATTACAATTATTTTATCAAAACCTTTATTTATTTTTAGACATGGAATTATTTTTTTTAAAAAAAATTAGTTTTCATGGAGTTATGTTGGACACATTATTAACTAGTTCAGCTAAATTTAAACAATCGTTACAATGTCTTTTACAAGAACATATAAATTTAGGTGCTATAAAGCCAATAGTACGTACAGTTTTTGAATCAGTTGAAGTAGTACAAGCTTTTAGGTACATGGCTGCAGGTAAACATATCGGTAAAGTAGTCATAAAAATTCGATCTGAAGAAAAAGAACGTGTTATTCAAGCAGTTCCTTTAACTCAAACGGTTCAGCCTAGAATAATGTTTGATAAAAATTCATCGTGTATTATTTGTGGTAATTACAATAAAAAACCAGAAATAAAACATAATATGTATCTACTATCTTTATAACTAAGGTTTGGATGTTTATGTACTTAAAATTACTGTAATAAATATGCATTTATACATTAAAAAAAATTACCAAATATGCAATCAAATTATGCTCAAAAAATAATAAAACGTTAAATTTTAGTTCAAAAAAACACCAAAATATAGACACCAACATTTTATCTTAAGTCTTACCTTACATTTGTATTATTAGTTATTTTTTAATATATATTACATATTAATTTACAATAAAAGCGTTACAATGAGAAACAATGGTTTTTTTTTTTAAATTTGTTCAAATTTTACGCTTTATTTCTTTTTTTTATGTTTCGTTATTAATTTAAATTGTTTTTAATTAAGTTCGAAAATGTTCTGAAATATAATTGCATGTTCTGAAAATTCTACATTATGTATTTAAAATATAAAAACATAAAATGTGCTACATAAAAATAGTATTGTTTGATTCAGTCAAACAAAAATTAAATTTGTATTTAAGTTAGCATTGAATTGGGTAAACAGAAAAATATATACAATTTCATAAACATCTGATCCCTTAGTATGTATAACATTTGTTTTTCTCTACTGAGATATTAATTAATTAAAATATTTTCCAGGTGGTCTTGGGGGTTTTGGTCTTGAACTAGTTGACTGGATGGTTTTACGGAATGCAAGAAATATTGTACTTGCTACTAGAACAGGTCTTCGTACTGGATATCAAGCACTGAGAAAACGTATATGGGAATCATATGGAGTTAAAGTAGTTATTTCAACAGCTGATATTACTACTGATGATGGAGTAAAACAATTATTTAATGAAGCAAATCAATTAGCACCAGTTTCTACAATTTTTAATCTTGCCGTAGTAAATATAATATGATTTAAATATAATTAATTAGTAATTTAATTTAATTTTATCATTGATTAAACATTGTTTCATTATAATTCTTAATTATTTTTAACCCTTAAAACCAGGTTTTCCCAATTATCTCGAATATTAAATATAATTTCAAAAAATGATCTCTATAAAGTACCATCCAGAGAACATTTCCTTTCAAAAAAAGTGTTATACGTGAAAATCATAGTAAGCCTTCTTGTAGAAAACATTAACATCATTGTAAAACCAATACAATCGTTGCTCCACTCAGAATATGAAATAAATTAAACAAATTCCACAATATCAAAATAAGAAGAAAATTAAAAAAAAAAATTATGCCTTAAATTATAATAGCTATTCTTATATATTATGAAATTCTACATTTTGTATTAATATTATTTGATATACATATATTTAATATAAATTGATTTCATTTTATGAGTAGTCATTTCAGTTATATATTTTAAGAAAAAAAATTATTCTTTTATTGTAAAGCCATTTCTGTACATTATGATATGAATTTCTACGTTTTTTATTAGTATTATTTGATATACAGATATTAAATACAAATGTATTTTATTTTTTTGGTATTCTTGAAGATTTTTATTTAAAAATAAAAAAGTTTTTAAAAACGGATTTTTTATTCTACAATCGTAAGGAATAGTGTTAAAATATTTTTTGAAACGATTGTTACAAAATGATACATTTAAAACGGTTTATTACATTAAACAATAACGATACAACTATATACTAATATGACTATACAATAATTGAAATTAATACTTTAATGTTTTTTATCATCGATATAGTAACTTGATTATTTATTTAGTGTATTATTTTTTTAGGTTTTAAAAGATGCTTTATTTGAAAATCAAACAGTTGAAGACTTTATAGTATCATGTCGACCAAAAGCTATTGCTACATCGTTACTAGACAAATATTCTAGGATAATGTGTCCAGATTTAAAACATTTTGTAATATTTTCAAGTGTAACGTGTAGTCGTGGGAACATTGGTCAAACTAATTATGGTTTGTCAAATTCAGTGATGGAGAGAATATGTGAAATTCGGAGATCAGAAGGTTTACCAGCATTGGCTATTGAATGGGGTGCTATTGGTGATGTAGGCCTTGCAACCAGCATGGCTGAAGGCAACAAAGAAGTGGTCGTTTCTGGTACTAAACAACAAAACATAGCCAATAGTTTAGAAATAATGGACCATTTATTAATTCAGAAAAACTATCCAATAGTCACTAGCATTGTGGTTGCTGAAAAAAGTGCTAAAAAATGTAGTAATGCTCTTGTTGATACTGTTATTGACATATTAGGGCATAAAGATTTCAAAAATATTAGTTTACATTCAACATTAGCAGAATTAGGTATAGATTCAATGATGACTGTAGAAATTAAACACTTATTAGAAGTACAATTAGAAGTATTCTTAATGCCCAAAGACATAAGAGGAATAACATTTACGAAATTGCAAGAGTTTGATGCTTTAGATTATAAAGAAAAGCAATGTCAATTAAATAAATTTACGACAGTTAATGAATCGATAGAATTAGAATTGTTACCCTCGTATTACTCAGTTGCAATCTTAGAAAATATGTGTCTTTAGTTTTGTATTAAATATTATGTGTATTGTATACTATTTTGATTGGTACTTGTGTCATGGTGACATGTTATAATATTTTAAATTCGTCATTTTGTATGATACTCATTATCTATAATATGTATAACACCGGATTGTTCGCATTAACATTGTAATTAAATTTTTGGACTTATGCAATATATTATAATAATATTATTTCATCCAGAGCTTGATTCAAAAATAAAAAAATAATGTGTACCGTTATAAGAAATTTAAACGTTATTCAATTGTTAGGTTTAAACGTTATACAAATTTAAACATTTATTCAATTTTTCCATTGAACGTTTTAAAATTTTGATGGTTATTCGACCTAACGGTTTAAATGTTTTTTTTTTAAAATTAAGCTTAAATTAAAGCTAAAATTAAAAAGTAGAATTTAATGGATACTAAATATTTGCATCTAAATATTGAATTTAAAATTTAAACACTCATTTTAAATTAAATTAATTAATTATACTAGTCAATTTTCCTAATAACAAGATGATGTTTAGTTTCAATTTCAACTTTGAATTATACACAATGTACAATATAACTAGTCTCCCCCAACCTAAACTTAAAAAAGTGAAATATATCTTCAACAGGTTGATGGAAATCAAAAATGTATTTAAAGTAATACACCGTCTATTTATGGAATTTTTTTATATAGGTTCTTATTTGAAAAACCTAAGTTTTTATCACCACAGGATACTCCTAAAATGTTGTGAAAAATCTAAGTATAAGAAAATATCGATTTTAACTACACTTAAAAATTCCAAAAATCAAAATTTGAATACATGCAAAATTTAACCAAAAAATTTTGGCGCTTAGTAAATCATTCTGTATTGTGTATGCAGTAACATAAAATATTTTTACGATAGTAGCTTGATTTGTACACTACACCTATACTTGTCATTGTCACTTAATTTTATATTTATAAATCATATTGCTAAATTAACCTGGCTGCCACAAGTATGCTACAGAAAGGTTTCTGTAGGTCGTTGGCAGCGTCGATGGTGATAACTACTGCCCCGTACTGTTGATTCGTCTGCCGTTGGTTTTGTTTAACTAGGCGAATACCTCCTATTGGATGCCGGCTAGACTAAACTCTCGCCCGTCTGTTACGATGGTTAATCGTAGCCGGTTAGAGGGTTTAATATTACCATCACTAGATCGCTGGTGGAGATGATGTTACGTTGCAATCCGGCTCTATATCTGTATGAGTAGGAGGACGACCGGAGTAGCGGATTTGTTGGTACCGTGGTGACCATACCATAGCGCGTTGTGATAGACGTGTTGGTGTGCAGCGCTCTCTATGCGTAGTATATGGGGGGGATCGCGCTATCGGGACGATTGGTTTAATCGCGCCGGTGTGTTTTACGATCGATATTATACGGTAACGGCAGATCTTTTACAATTATAACGACCCCATGGCCTATTCATATATTTTTATTATTTATGGTTTTCAAACGTTTTTTTGAATCACTTATCGTTATAATAATAACGTTTTAAAGCCATGTTACAAACACACTGTAATTATTACAATAGTAAAATATTCCTTTATTTCTATATATTCTAAATATTCTGTCTTTTTTGTGTTTTAATCAGACGATCTCTTTTTGTACTATGCATAAAACTCCGTCTCGAATTCAGGTGCTTTACCGCAGTAGTGCAACTGTAAAATAGATATCTTGCTAGTAAAAAAAGAAATCCCCATCTTTGTGAAATGACAAACTGAATATATAAATAAGGCGGTGTTTTTTTTTTTTTTTTGATTAATATACGGGTGTACAAAGTGGGCGGTTAGGATTGTCGGTAAAAATTGAATTCACATGCCGGTAATTTAGATCACGCAGTAAAATTATTACCGTAATAATTACTTGCGTCATCAGTATGCGTCATAAAACATCTATTTGATATAATAATCCTAATAAATTTTACTATATTTTATTTATTTGTATTCATGTAAATTTTAATTTGTAATCCTAGTTGTATTTAACTGTCTATCACTTACCAGTATGATGCTTGACACGAAAAAAAAGTATGCGTCATAATATTATTGACAATAATGTTAGTATTGCGTCTCTTCATTTAAACGAATATATCGTGCGAGATCGAATAATGGTCTATTCGCATCATGGCCGTATTCAGGATATATTGGCCCCTAAGCTAGCCTATGGTGCAGGTGCTTTAACGCAGGCACACGGATATATTAATAAATCTTAATTGACCTTACATATTCAAAGCGGAGTAAGGGTAATTTAAAAACATACTTATAGTCCTAACGGAGTTCGGAAAAGAAAGCAACGGAAAAAAAATCAATATAATTATTTTAAATATTATAATTTAAAATGTAAATCATTGGTTAGTACTACATAGTATTATATAGTACCATGTAAGAGATACCTACTAGTGTACGTATATAATACTATATTTCAATAGCAATGACTGTATTGTATACTCAATGCTAATATTTTAAATGTTTTCACAAAAATAATTATCGGAGCAAGTTATCGAAATCTGCAGTCTGTAATCGAAAGTAACAAAAATGATAACTGCTGTAGTACAAGCACAAAATATATAAAAATCAACTTAAAATAAATATATCGCTGTAGCATAGAGTGGGAAAAATAAATTTGGATTTATACGAGTATGATTTATAATTTTTTAATATTTATTTTTAAAAATCAATAGGTATTTTATATTATTATCGGTATATCCTTATTATATAATAAGTCATATAAAATAATAGTACATTACATAGATACAATAATAAAATATTTATATTAAAATCAAAAAAAAAAAAAAATTATAAATTTAAAAAGACAGAAAGACCCCTCCAAGTGGAGGGGACATTTAAAGTATATTTTGTAAGCAAAGATGAACTATTGCTAATGAAAAATCGATTCTGAACGGAGTTCAGTTGATAGTGTTGCTTTGTCAACAATATATAATGTCAGACTAATGGTGTATTTACGGAGAGAAATTAGCGAGGTTAGTGGCGCATCTATTTTTTGTATGACTAGGTAAGTGTCTAATTTTAATTTCAAAACCTTTTACTTTTTGTCAAACAATTCCGAAATTGTGTTGATAACTTTATTATAAAGCTAATACATTAAACAGAAAATAAAACAAACAACATCTCAACGGTATACATTTGCTTGTTAAAAACGAAATCTGTCCATACCACTATTATACGGAGGTAAGATCAGTAACTAAATAGTAAAATTAAGTACACGCTGATGTTAAGCACATATAGTTTTTCGGTTTCAATGATAATATAATATATAAATACATTTTTTTAAATTTTTTTTTGATCTGATTACACGTTACGCGCTCGATTAGGTACTCGATTATCGAATTCGATATATTATGTACCTCCTTCGCGAGATCATAAATCGGGTGCGACACGCGTGAGTTTCAATCGTCGTCCATTTATAAATAACGAGTCGAACTGATGGAAATGGCCGTCGCTATACTTCGGTCCGATTTCATAACGATGGATATTTTGAATTACGTATTGAAATTGTCTACTTTGGCGGATACTCTCGCCGTGGCGGAGGGACAGCTGTTCACCACGCTTCCACCCACTCCCCCTCACCCACCCCCCCGTAATTATTATTTCGCGCCCGCGTAAAATAAATAACGCGCGTATTTTGCCCGCGCGAATAACGTGACAACGATACCGACGACCACGATGACCATAGTCGGTGGTCCGGTGGCGTCTCGTACGTGCAGCCACCGCCGCCGCCACCGCGAACCGCGCGTACAGTTCGTGTCGCGGTATCCCGACGTTACCGGCGGCACCGCGCGCCGCCGCAAAACGACGCGGCGAGGCGGTGACGGCGGCGGGAGAGAAGATACGAGCGCGCCGACGCTTATTACCCTTTGGGATTGCATTTTTTTTTTTTTTTTCCGTTCCATGCCGTCGCAGCGCTGTGCCGACGACGACGACGCCGCCGTTTCAGTGCGAGGCCTCAGCTCGCGTTCGGCCGCGCGCGTGTTCCAGTGTCTCTCGTCGCGTTCCTCCCGCGCTCGACACCACGGCTACGACTGTGATAATAATAACGACATTACCGTTGTTGTCACAATATCAAACGCGACCGGCGGCGAGACGACTGTTTGGCCGGCTGTGGTGCCGACGTCTTGACAACAATAACGACTGATAATAATATTACCTGTAATGATTGATATTTCACGTGGATCGCGACCGGAACCGACGAAAGGTATGGTAGAAAATAAAGAAAATATTAAATAACAATAATAATAAACACTTTTATTACGATGATTGTTTTTTTTTTTTTTTTTTTTTTTTTTTTTACCGCCTGATTTCGAATATACTCGTAATACAATAATCGTTCACGAAATGACGTCTTAAACGTCCGCTTTACCACGTCACCGGCAACAAAATTATTCCAAAAATAATAGACACGCGACGTTGACGGAGGGGGGGAGGGGGGGAAGCGATGACTGCTCGACGCGCGTGGGATAATACGCGGTGTGATACGCGAACAGGTACCCCTTTGGGGTAGTAAAACACCAGAGGACGTGACGAAAAGCCTATGCAATATATGTGGTGATGCGCTCTGGTAGAGTGGAAAATTGATTTTCTCATCTTTGCAGCGTGTGCTGGCGATGGATGATGCGTGTGTCGTTTGTGTGTGTGTGTGTGTGTGTTTGTTTGTGTGTGGGTGGAGGACGAGCGAGCGATCGGCGAGAGAGGGCCGATGGCTAGTCGCTATCCTGTGCGGATTCAAAACAATAAATTATAAATCGCTAATCGTTAAAACGGACTCGATATACGAAGAATATTAATAACTATGAGAAAATGCAGACGCGCAGATAAGGTGTATTCTATGTATACATAGATGATTTTCTCGAAAGGGTTGTGGGGATATAAAATATACATATGTATTTGCAGGGGCTTAATTTTTTTTTTTTTATCGGTCTAAATAGCATATGATGTCTGTATATTTTAACAAACGTTATTCCAGAAATTAAAATCTCTTAACTCATTATGATATACATATTGTTTGGCTAAATTATTATTATTTTGCGTAATTTTTTTCTCTCTGTGAGAAATTACCTATTTAACAAGGAATCTTGATCCAATCGAAAAATGCAAAGCAACATTTTATTGTTGCATTGTGAATATAGTTAGTGCATTGAGAGAGTAAATTTTTAATTTTCCAAGTGATTTTCATAATAGCTGTAGAAAATTGAAAAAAAAAAAACGTATAAGAAAAACGAACAAATATTTATGGCACACGGCGGAGTCACCGATTTTATTATTATGTAACATTTTTACGATTTTTGTTTTCTATTAGAGATTTTAGTCTACATTTCAAGAGTAAGATATTTTCTGAAAGAAAATGTTTTCTATTCGGTGTGTAAGATATTAGATAGTGATTTTTGATTTTCCATGTAGTATTATTTAAGAATTGGGCAATTCCGGGAAAAAACGAGGGAAAAACAGGAAAGTATACGAAAATAACGGTTTATTATTTTAAATTTTGTTTATTTGTTGTAAATATATTAAAAAAAAAATCGAGGAGAATTTTAATTTTCACGGAATAAATTTATTGCCAGTTTCTAGACGAGGTAAAAGTTGAGCTATTTATAGACATCTGAAATTTCCGAATTTTTTTTTTAGTTTTGTTTGGCAGGTAATAATTATGTGGATAAAATCCTTTGACTAAATAGAAATTCTTGAATACTATACACGAGGTTAATTATAAGTTGAACTTAAATTTAATGGTCAGAACAAAAAAAAATTGGGCGGATAATGTAGTGGGTTATTTTGTAATCGTTTTTAGATCAAATATTGACGAAAATCTTAAAAAATACGGAATTTCAAAATATATATAAATTAATATTGTTTAAAATCGTTAATATAAAAAAAATAAATTGTTAATATATATCTGTTGTTCTATCAACTTTTCTGGAGCAAAAATTTAATCCATTATTATTCTATCGTCATGAAGTACATAAAATCCTAAATAGCTTAAAGTTTAGTTAGATACCTACAAATATTTGTATTTAGAAATTAATGACTTGAATATTTTTACTTCTTTCGTTTATTCTTGAGATGGGTAATATTTTATTCTATTTGGAAGTCGAGGAAATGAACGCCCAGTAGTTGACACTGGAACGTCACAAAAGATAGACGAATAGCATATTATATTTATTATTGAATAGAAATATTTTATCGCAAATCTCGATTACCCGTAGTTGCCCCGAGTTGAAAATAATATTTTCTGTAACTATAGTTTTAGTCACCATGTCTCTGGAGTCTGTATTTAATTATTATTGCAAGTGAGTAAAATTCTAACCATTAATTGTTTGCTCTGTCCGTAAATGTACATAGAAATGTTTCGTGTTTAGAACAGAAAAAAAAATTCAAGGGGGGTCGGGGGGAGAGGTTTTTCCACGTAAACCGTATGTATTTGACTCTGTAGACCGGAGAAAAAAATTAATAAAAACACGGGTGATAGGTACTAAAAAATTTCTCGAGTATCTGCAGTGTGAAGAAATCCTTTTGAAGGTTTTTTTTTATAAGGTAACATACATAGACAAACATTCAATACAAACAAAAATAATAATATATATATATGATTATTACTTTTTTATGGCTTTTATTCGTCGAGAGACTCTAAAACAAATGGCTTCACACATACATTATTATTATATATATATATATGCACGTATAGTAATTCAATAAAATAATAAATTATATATCAAAAAGAAAAATAATAATAATAATCGGGGTAGAATATTGAAACTTACAAATATATAAGTATAGTACCTATGCAGTATACTCGTAGACACGGCGTTAAACGTGCTGGTTTTGCAGAAAAAGTACGCAGACGACTCGAAAAGCTATGTTGAATAATTAATCGAAATGTGACCTCGTCGCGGCCACTCTAGTGACACTTATGTTTTTTTTTTTTTCATTTTTGTACCATCATTTATAGAATTCTGCAGCCGAGTGATACAAAAAACTCATCTCCTCGTCAAAAAACCGCTTAATACATGAACTGAGAGACCTTACATTATAATACGCTTGCATCATCTAAATTATTCATTTAAAAATCAGTAGTACAGCGCGTTATATCAAACACCGTACAAAATATAAATCATTTTAGATTCTGAGTGTAGCGAAGAAAGAGTGTATTGATTTTACTAAGATGTTTATTTTTTGTTTGCTGTGTATAAAAATTCGACCATAAATCTTTCTTAGATATATACAAGCGAAACCATTCCTGAAAGGAAATGTTGTCCAGATGGTACTTTTGGAGGTCATTTTTTGATTTTCATAATATCTGGGAAAAACCGGATAAAATGTAAGAAAAATGGAAAATTTCCGAAAATAATGCTTTTGATATTTTTCAATTTTGTTATTTGTTATAATTCAGTTAAAAATATTTGTAGAAATTTGACATTTATATAGAAATTCTATATTTGCTTTTTCTAGACGTGAACAATTTTTCAAAAAATATAAGTATTTATAGACATTTTAATTTTGAGAGTTTTGTACGTAATATTTATTCGACTTATAAGTACTCTGTGGTAAAATTGTTAGACTTGAACAGAAATGCTTCAAAATTTAACAGGAGGATCATTAACAGTTATGATTTGTGGTGAAAAAATTGAGTTTAATGTATGCAGTTTTTTTTTTTATAAGGGAATTTTAATATCAAACTTTGACGAAAAAATGTGAAACAAATCTAATTTTTCAATTTTTTATTTTTAACATATGTATATTGCCGATTTACGAACGATGGTGAAATCAGAATTAAGTGGACTGACTAAGTTTCGAAATTATAGCTTTTTGAAGTTCTGATATTATGCAGAAAAATCTTATGTTAAATAATTTTATATTGTTTTTTTTTTAAAGCGTAAAGCGTATTTGTAGTAATCTAATAGTTATTTATGCCTATTATCATCCTAGGGGTTCCGAGTTCATACCAGTATGACGAAAAAAAAAGTTCGCATTTTTTTCCTTTTTACCTAAACAAAGAAAAAACAAATGCATTTTGGATGTACCTAGAAACCTAAGCCATCGTTCCCTCGGACTATTTTAATCACAAAATACCCCCTGATTTGTTGTGCAAACTTTTCTACGAGAAATCTTGCTCCGATGCATCAAGTACAGCTTATTTTTTGAAAGGAAATTTTATCTCCGTGGTAATTTAAAGAAGTTTTGACTTTTTAAGTGGTTTTCATAATAACTGGTAAAAACCGGAATAAAATGTCGAAAAAACGGAGAATGTATAAAATGTAGATAATAGTAAAAAAAATATTACGGCCTATTTTTCTGTGTACAACTTTTCCACCAGTAATTTCACTACAATTTACAATGATAGCACTTTTTCTGAGAGGAAATCTGACTGGGAAAGTACTTAAAGGAAGTAATTTTTCGATTTTCCTAGGAGTTTTCTCAATAAATGAGAAAAATCGGGAAAAAACATGGGGAAATCTTCATATTATTAAAACAAATATACAATACCTATTAAACTATTTTACCATAATATGACATATATATATAAATATATTGTTGACAAAACATCACTATAAACCTTAATTGCGCTCAGAATCGTTTCTTCGTTAGCAATGTTTTATCGTTGCTTACAGATATACATTAAATTACCTATAACAGTTACTGTACCCGTCTCCATTATCCTAAATCGCCTTTTTTTTCTTATATGTTTATAATCAATTTATTATTATATATAAGAAACTAAAAAGCAAAACATATATTAAATTGAAATTATAGTAATATATAGGTAATTTATACATACAGTTTAACAAATCGAAGAAGGTTTGTGAACGATGTTACCATATCATTTGAACAATGATATGTTATTTTAGATTCTGAACGAAGTGAACGTTTTACAATGATGTTTATTTATTAGATTCAAAGCGTAGCGAGAGATCTATTGGTTTTACTATAATGTGTTTTTTGTACTTTTATTTTCCTGGCAGTGAACATTTTTTCTACTACAAAACTTATTCCGAAGTATCAAGTATAGTACTTTTTCTGAAAGGAAATTTTCTCTAGTTAGTACATTGAGAGCTCGTTGTAAGTTGTACTTTGTGGTAAAAAAAATAAAAAACCAATTTAGAACAATGTAGAATTTTTATTTAATA